CAAAGAGAGAAGGCCTTAGGAAGGTGGAAAAGTCCAGGTGGGCGGGAAGCACAGACCTGTGTATCTTAACCCCAGGGCAAAACTGGGAAGGCTGGTTTGGGGGACAGGTGTGAGGTAGAGGAGGGAGAGATCTTATTAGTAGGGTACCTGGGTGCCTACACAGACAGGTCCCGCATCCACCCCATTTGCACCAGGTGGCTGGGGAGCTCTGCTGAAAAAGTAGCCAGCTACTCAGGGCTTTTTCCTCATATAGCTTTTTACTCTTGCAACCGAAGTCCTTGGGTGGTGCAAATGGGTGACACACTTAGCTGCAAACCAGAAGGTTGGAGGTTCCAATCACCCAGCGGTGCCTCAGAAGAAAGACCTGGCAATCTACTTCCAAAAAATCAACCATTGAAATCCCTATGGGATACAGTTCTACTCTGACACACATGGGGTTGCCATGAGTGAAAATTGACTCCATGGCATCTTTGTTTTTCTTTTTTGTTTTACAACCAAATAAATACTTTTTTGTCATTTCCTGTACTAACTGGTCTGTCTCTGTCTTGCATTTCTTGTTCAGGCTGTATGTTGTACTGTCTTGTCTCTGCTTCTGTCGGTCTTCTTCCCCAAGCAGAATGGCTCCCATTCTGGGCATCTACAGAAGTCCAAGTCTTGGTGGTTCAGTTAAAAAGCTGGGGCAGTGGAGTGGTGGAGTGGTTAGTGTGTGGGCTTGGTCCTTTTCTGGAGGTGCTGGCTGGATGGAGTTAGCAAGAGCTACCATGAATTTGGGCTTCCTTGTTTACGTAGGCTCTGAGTGGTTGTCATTTCTGCTCCTTTTGGGAGGAATGACTTTGAACTGATTTGCCTTTCTAGCTGAAGTTTCTGAGAGCAGTATAAAGTCAACCAGTTTGGAAGGCAAGGGGGCAGGGAAACTAGATTACTGGAAAGGGAACAACCAGAATGGAAATGAGAAAGTTGACACACTGTGAAAAATGTAACCAATGTCATTGAACAAATTGTGTAGACCTTGTTAAATACGAACCTAATTTTCTGTGTAAACTTCCACCGAAAACAATAATATATCTTAAATTAAAAAAAACAAAACTGAATGTAACACACACACAGACACACACACACAGCTGCTAGTTTGGTTCTCTGAGAATCCCCAACTTTTTATATATGAGCAAGGGTGTTCTAACTCCTCTCCAGCCACTCACAGGAGCAGGGAAAGCAGTTGCCCATTAATTGTAACTTACCCATGCTGCCATGAGGCCTTGCTAGTTCAGTGGTAGAATTCACACCGTCCGTGCAGGAGACCTAGGTTTGATATCTGGCCAAGGCACCTCATGTGCAGCCACCACCTGTCTTGTCAGTGGAGGCTTGCATGTTGCTGTAATGCAGAACAGGTTTCAGGAGTGCTTCCAGATTAGGAGGAAAGCCTTCTGAAAATTAGCAATGAAAACCCTATGCACCATAACAGTCCAATTTGCAGCCGATCATAGGGATGGCATAGGAGTGGGCGGTGTTTCGTTCTGCTGTGCGTGGGTTGTCATGAATCAGGGACAGACTCGACGGCCGCTAACAGTAACAACCACTCATACCATCATAACTATATTAGTTTGCTGTTGGGCTGCCACCATTTGAAGGAAGTTGGTCTTGTCCCAGTTTTACAGGTTAGAAGTAGAAAGCTTAGGAGCCGATATGTGCACGGTCACCTCTGACTTGAAGCTGGTCTTAATAGGACAAACCCCAAGTTCTTTGGTCATAATGTGCTGCCTTCCCAGCATGCTGTTAAACTATTTCTGTCTTTTATTTCCTCTCAGAGAAGATGATGCTTCTTGAGAAAACTTCGCTTAATAGAGACTTCGCAGAGAGAAGTGAAGACTAGGGGGAACCCAGTATCCACTCTAGCCTTGCCTTTCTTATGGAATGAAGGCTGGGCCTTTGTTTTTCCCAGACAGGGTACTTTTTTATTAGACATCTATTCTAATAATAACTTTCCAACACAATAGAACACCCTGACAGGTGCCTTCCACACGGTAAACACTCAGTATTTGTTGAATGTTGCCAGATGAGTACAAAGCATGTTTACATATATGTTGTCATTATAGAAGCATGATTAATTATCTTTAATTGACTGATGTGGGAGGGGAGACCCTCAGAAGCTGAGATTCAGCGAACATCACCAAGATAGTGAGAGCCCCACTTTGTCAGATTTGAGGTTCCAGTATAGCATCATACCACAGTGTGTAAAATGTGACACCGTGCAAAGAACCAGTTTTGGTGTTAGATGCAAACTAGTAATGGAGGTGAAACCTTGAGCTGCTTATTTAACCTCTCTAAATCTGGCTCTCTATTCTCCATTCCCATACACCTGACAAGGAGGTCATGTCACTTCCCTGCTTAAAGACCTCTAGTGTCTTCCCATTGCACTTACAATAAAGTTCCCAGTCCTTACCACTACCTGTAATACCTGATACAGTCTGGCCCTTGCCTGCTTTCCAGTCTTGTCTCCTACCCCCTCCCGCCCTCATTGCTGTCAAGCTCCATTGACCTCCTTTCTGTTCCCTTGAACATGTCAAGCTCATGCTGCCATGAGGCCTTGCTGGTTCAGTGGTAGAATTCACACCTTCCATGCAGGAGACCTAGGTTTGGTATCATGTGCAGCCACCACCTGTCTGTCAGTGGAGGCTTGCATGTTGCTGTAATGCAGAACAGGTTTTAGCAGCGCTTCCAGATTAGGAAGAAAGCCTTCTGAAAATCAGCCAGTGAAAACCGTATGGATCATAACAGTCCAATTCGCAACTGAGCATAGGGATGGCATAGGAGTGGGCACTGGGCAGCCTTTGCACTGGCTGTTCCCTTTATTTGGAATCTTTTCTCAGTTTGTTGCATGGTTGTCCACACTCATCTAGTATTGCCCTTCCATGTCACTCTTAAATCACCCTGTTTTATTTTCTTCCTAGCACTTATCAGTATCTGGAATTGTTTTCTGCTTATTATATTTTACACACACACTAGAATATGTCTTCCACAAGAAGAAACCTGTGTCTGTCTTGTTCAGTGCTGAGGCCTAGGTTCCTAGAACAGAGCCTCCCCGATATGTGTGGAATATGGGGAAGAATGAGTATATCAATCTGCTGTAGTTTCTCTTATGTAAACTGGGGGAAGAAGTTTTATGGGAATGTTAGGGTTAAATGAGAGAACCTGAGAGCGGTGTGAGGCACATGGTAGGTACATTCTTGGGTGTGGATCCTTTGTGGTTACGATTGCTGTGTATGAGACCAAGACCAGCAGCCCCCTACACATGGTGCATGCTCATGGTAAGGCTTGGGTCTGTGACTACCCTTCAGGGGGCTCACAAGTGGGATCACTTACCCTTGTAAGAAAGCCATCGCTTTCCCCATTGGATGGATGATGGGGTTGAGGCTGGGAGAGGCAGCAATTTGCCCAAACTCGTGAACCTGCTGAGGGACTGGGACCCAGGAGCTAGACCCCATTAGCAAGACCTAACCAGCCAGGATAAAGCCATCCTGACTGACACACGGGGGAATGGAAGCTTCTTCCCATCCAAATCCCACTGGATAATCTTTCCTTCTCTTCCCTTTCTCGTCTGGCAAGCATCTATATTATGTGCTTAAATTCCTCCTTTGATCAAAATCCTTCATGATCCTATTGCTTCTGCTCAAGCAGACCTAGAATCCCACTCCCTTCGGCTGCCCCCCATTTGACCCCTCCGCTGGGAGCAGGGTGTGCCAGCCCGTACACAAAGTCAGGTTTCTTACCTGATACACTTGTGCCTCCGGAATCACTTCAGTGAGCATGAGGGAGGAGCAAGAGGGGCAGATCATCCCCAAGCCACTGGGGACCATAAGACCGATAGTGGTGTTTTTCTGGGAACCAAGTCTATGTTACCATGAGTATTCAGACGAAAACTGAGAGTCACTTTTTTTTTCCTCTGAAAGATGCATCCCCCTGAGTTTAAAATTAGTTTGATCTTAAACAGCTGATGGGTTTTGACATGTTC